TGGGCGGGACCAGACGCCGAGGTCACTGCCGCGCTAACGGTCGTAGCACGGGCGGGGCTCGCCGCGCGGAGTGTGGTCGCCGCGAGGAGCGCCGGGAGCGGGGCGCGCGAGGAATGCCGGGAATAGGGGAGCGCGGGGAACGCCGGGAACGAAGCGAGTCATGGGACAATGCCGGGAACCCAGTAGTACGGGAGTGCCAGGAGTACTGGGCACTCCCGTGGTCCCCGGGCTCCAGCCGCCTCTAGACTGGATATTGCCGTAGAGATTGTCCACACAGACATTTTCCAATCAAAATCATGAAACATAACTGTTAGATAAAAAAGGACAAGTATCCTCAATTGTCTAGCACTTTTCTATTTCATAACACTGTATCAGGAGCCTCAAGAAAGGGAAGAGGATATAAGTGGTTAAGGGACCCCTCTTCCTTAGTTAGACCAGCATTCCGGTAAATAAATAAAGAAGAAATGATGGAAATTTTTTAAAAATCCCATTTGGCAGACAGCACATTAGGACAAAAATGGATACTTAAAAAAAATGATGGGAAAAACTATGAGAAATTGGTGGGGGGTGGGGGCGGTTTTATAGAGTTGCAGTTTCTTCCCCAAGATACTAATTGCAAAGCTTAAACAGTAACTTTGCAATGGAAAAAACCTGAGACACCACCCTAACCAAGTGACCAAAGTCACCAGCAAACGTATACACATCCAAATTTACCAAGTTATACACTATAAGGATGTGTTGCAGTGTGCATTAATTATACCTTGATAAAAATGAAGGAAAAAAAGCACCAGGCAAGGGACAAATTGTCGATCTCCAGAGCAGGACACGTATCACTTGGTATTTCTGCCCTAAAGGCAATACCTGTATATAATCATGAAGAAAGACTGGGTGAACCCAAAAGAGCGACATTGTACCAAAAAACAAAGTGTTAAGATCATGCAAGTCAGGAAGATTGAGGAACCATCTTTGATTAAAGGAGACAACGAATTTCGATGTGGGAGCTGGATCCTAGATTGAAACCTGGCTTAGGACACGGGTATTAGTGGGACAGGTGATAAAATTTAAATAAGGTCTATATATCAGTTAATAGTATTGTATCAGTGCTAATTTCCTGGTTCTAGTCATTGTTACTGTGGTTAGGTAAAGTATTAACATTTGGGAGGAGTGATTGAAGGATATTGGAATTATTGGCTCTATTTTTTCAAGTTTGTAGCAAGTTAAAATCATTTCAGAACAAAAAGGTTAATAAAGGACAGGAGAGGGAGTATTGTGGGTGAGGAAGCTGGAAGCTGACCCAGGCCCTTCCTTCCCTTCCTGCCTCCTTCTGTTTACCTGGCTGATTCAGTGGCCAACACTTGTCACCTCACAGTGGCGCCGAGCCCCATGAGGGTCTGGTTCCTGGACTCAGCCAGCTGCTGGCCTTGGCCCAGGGCAGTCAAAGTCCATGTGACTTGACAAACTACCATTCAGCTACAGCCACCTCTCCGTATATTGTTGCTTACTGAGCTGAGGGGCCGGCACCTGCCCTGATCCAACTTGAGACCTCAGACCTGCACCCTACAGCCAACTTCCCTCAAGGGTGGGGTGGGGGACCAACTGGGTGAAGGACAAGGACCCTCACCACAGGACCTCCCCTACAATCCCCACCTGACTCCAGCCTCCAAGTCACAAAGATTGATACCTGGAAGCTGGGAACTCCAGCCCAGTGTAGGGGAGGAAACTTCTCTCTAGGCTCATGTTTCCACCTCATCCTGGCTGACCTATAAGCCAGGTCTTTGCTGAAGAGCCTGGATGATGCCATCTGCTGGCACCTTAACTAAGTGATCCTGGTTACCAGCAAATGTGTACACATCCAAACTGAACTCCGAGGAAAAAAAGACACCTACTAAAAAGGGAAGGGATCCTGGTAGCTAAGTGGGCTCAAATTTTTGAAAACAGAGCCATTACTGCACAGGGGACTCTCACACAAACTGCACTTCACAGAGAAGTCATCACTCAACTGCCTGCCTCTGCACTGAACTGCTGACCTGCAGTGTTTCTGCCATCTGAGCAAACCCTTACAGTTCCTGGAATCCTATTTTCACCAATAGGAATGAGGCTTTCCCTGTCCAATTGGAGCTGTGCAGTTCCAGCCAATCAGAGTGGCTCTATATTAACCAAACAGAAGTGCTTTTTGGGCCATACTACAAGGATTTGGAGTCCTCCTTTGCATGAGGATGGACGAATCAGAGACCAGATATGGGGGCTTATGTCCACATAAGCCAGCTCCCCTTTGGCTCAGAGAATGCACTTTTCCTTTCCATCAAAAACATCAAAAACTTAATACTGTGTTTCTTTGCCTGAAATGAAATACCAAAGATGATTTGCAGGGCAGAGCAGAGCTGTTAGTTGGAGAGGGGCTGGCCCTAGAGTTCTACAGCTATGCTTTTTTCATAGCCAATTGAGCAGTTTTGCACTGAATAAAGTTTCTTTCTTCACTGCCCCCCAAACTGAGGACTCCTGTTGACATTGAATTAGTGGCAATAACCATCAGTTGACAAAACATATCAAAAGGTGGGATTGTGAGGGGTCCCTGAGGGCAGAAGACAAGGAGCCCAGACTTGCCAGGACAAGACCTGAGGTCAGGCAGCATTCCTGACCTGGTCATGCTTGCTCACAGACGCTTCTGCATCAGTCAGCCTCCCACGTCCAACCTCCATGCCAGCACACCTCAGCTGTGCTGTCTTGGAGCCAGAGAGCAGCAGAAGCTCAACTGAAAAAGGTGCATCTGAGAAAGCGATGAATTCCCCATCTGCCCAGGATAAGAGGGCCCATGTTGGGGGCTCAGGGATCTAATGTATCTGGTGGCAAGCACAAAGGACTGGCTAAGCCATGCCAAAGTCAGGCCCGGGCCTTCCTTGATGGTTTGTCAAAAGTGCTTCTCAAAAACATCAGCTTCCTAGGGTCCCTGTACCCTTATAACAGTACAGAGGCCTCATTTCAAGGCACTGACCTAAATAAACACAAGGCTTGGGAAACATCAGCACTGTCACTCCTGGTTCAAATATCTACCTATCCTAGGAATTAGGATACAGCAGTGAGCAAGAGAGAAAAGGGTCTGACTTCCTGGAGCTCTCCTGACAGGGAGACACATAAACAATCAAGCCCTGACCGGTGTGGCCCAGTTGGCTCTGCACCGTCCTGCAAAATGAAGGGTCGCTGGTTGGAGTCCCGTTTAGGGCACATGCCTGGGTTGCAGGGCCAGTCCCCAGTCAGGACAAGTGCAGGAGGCAGCCAATTGATGTTTCTCTCCCTTTCTTTCTCCCTCCCTTCCTCTTTCTCTAAAAATAAACAGAATCTTTTTTAAAAATAAAAGAAACAATCAAAATGTATAGTATGTCAGAAAGTGCTAACTGATATAAAGAAAGAGAGGGAGCAAGGCAGGGAAAATTGCAAATTTAGATGGGACGAACCCCCTCCCCCAGAAAGCTTTAGCCAAAGCCCATAGAATGTGAGGGAGAACGTGGTTGGCATATATGAAAGGGGAGTTCCTCAGGCAGAAGGGATGAGTGCAAAGGCCCTGGGGCAGAAACTATGCAAAAAGTGTAGCCATAAACAGTGGCAGAGGCTTAAAAAGAGTGAAGGTGGGAGGGGTGCTGGGCAGCAGGATGAGACCAGTGTGGGGAGGACTGTGGGCCCACAGGGGCAGGAACCCCAAGGTCCATCTTGTTCTCATTGTGCTCCTTCCTGGCCTCATGGCTCTGCCTCCCCATTTGCCCTGGGACTATGGGACTGTTGAGGTGTATCCCCAAGCCTTGGTTTCCTCATCTGTAAAGTGAAGGCCACAATTATGTTATTTTTCCAGAACTGCCATTACAAAGTACCACAAATGAATGGCATAAACCTGGGGCCCCCAACCCTCAGGCAGGAACCGGGCAACAAGCAAAGCTGGCCTGAGCTCCACCTCCTGTCGCGCCCACGGCCCCGACACTCATCCTCCAAGAAACCCTCCATGGTGCCAAAAAGGTTGGGGACTGCTGGCAAAAACAGAGATTTATTCTCTCACAGTTCTGAAGGCCTGCAGTCTGAGACCAAGGCGACAGCAGGGTCACGCTCCCTCTAATGGTGACAGAGAAGGATCAGTTCCAGGCTTTTCTCCCAGCTTCTGGTAATTTCTTGGTGTGTGGCAGTATACTCATTGTCTTCACAGGATGTTCCCTCTATGCGCACATCTATGTGTCCGAACTTTCCCTTTTTTAAATAAGGACACCAGTCATATTTCTTTATTGAGGCCCCTCCCCCAATGACTTCATTTTATCTTGATTAGCCCTATAAAACCCTAATAAGGTCCCTAAGAAGGATTACAGCATATCTTTTGGGGGCACAAAATTCAACCCCTAACAATCACCAAACTACACCTCGAGCTGTCCCTTCCTTGCGGGACCCAGGCTGTTAGGGAGCCCTGGGCAGGCTGGACACAGAGGGGTCCATGACAAGGGTGGAGATGCTTTCCCCCAATGCCCCACCCCTGGGGCAGAGGCGGACATCTTTGGAGGCTCTTCAGTGGCTGTGCACCCACCCTGTGGCGCCTCCCAAGGGTGGACGTGCCTGGCCAAGTGAATGCTGGGGTGGGATCCATGTTGGGAGGCAGAGAGGGCATCGGGCATTAGCAGCGCCTGAGCTGGGAGCCTGACCTGGCCTCCATGGTCCACACTGAGTGTAGGGGGCTCCCAGGGGCACCCCATTGCACCCGGATAAATCCCTGGCTCCTCAGCCCAGCTCAGGAGGCCCTGTCACTGGCAACTACTGCGTCCCATATAAACAAGCTCTCTCGCACCCCGGCCTCTGCCCAAGGACCCTCTTAGCACTCAGGAAACTACAAGCAGAAGGAGAGAGTAGAAAGAGCCTTGTAGCAGTATCTGTGCCATGGGAACTCCTGCAGGCCGGGACAGCAGCCCCCAACCCCTCGCACGCAGCAGCTCCAATTGTCCCCATCACAAGAGCTAAGGACCTGGACTGTGTGCACTCACCACAGCCTTAGAGTTTTATTATCGACATCTCACATTCGAGTACAGGTTCCTATGAAGTTTGCCTCCCTGAGGAGAAGGGAAAGGCAAGGGCTGGCTGTGTCCCCTCACTGAGATGGGCCTGCCCAGAACCCACAAGTGGGCAGGCAGAGCCTGACAGGCTGCTGAGGCACCCAGCACACGAAGGACTCCCAGTCACAGGGCAGGCCCATACACATGGGACCCCGAGTGCACGCAGGACCACTGGGCCCACCAACCAGACCTGAACTTCATTGAGAGTAGGTTTTTCTTGCATTTTCCTCATTCCTCATTCCATATGTGGCCTATCTCTCCTCCAAGAGCAGGTCTGGTTGTCAGGAATGGCCTGTGCCCAGGAGAGAAGGGGACACTTTTAAACTCCTGTTGTTTTGATCAAAGCAAAGCCCCACTGGCCAAAAGCACGTGTGGGCATGAGAGGCACAGCTCTCCCTGTCTGGCACAAGTGCATGTGTGTGCTCCAGGATGTATGCACATATCTATTGCCTGTGCCTGTGCATGTGCCCCCAAGGGATGTACAGGGGTGCCTATGCATGTATAGGCATATATGTAAGTGTGTGCCTTACAATGCATCTCTATGCATAGGCAGAGGCAAGGCCAGGCGTGTTCACACATGCACAACAGACCTGGACCTCCCCCTGACCTGGCTGTGGGATTGTATCACTCCGACTGGCATAAGGATGGACCTCTAGCTGGATACAGTGACACGGACAGATCACACACAAATCAGAGGGCCCTGGTCCTGAGGGACACTGGCGGAGTCGTGACCAGGCAGTGCATGTGCTGTGGAAGGTTCCCATCCAGCCCTGGGCCTTAGAGGAGCTGTCTGGCCACACCCAGGGGTGGGACTTAGCTCTGCAGCCTAAACTCGTGGGTATTGGTCTCCCAGCGGGAAGGGTCCTTGTCTAGCATGCTGCGTTCTGTGAAGGTCACGTGCCCATCCGCGTCCACGAGGATGATAGTGTTGGTTCTGAAAGAGAGCATGGGGCCCACATTCAACCCACTGCCCTCAGAACCCTGCCCTCCTGTCAGAGCCCCAACTGGGGTCAGATGTGAGACAGAAAGGTCAAGCCCACTGCACCTGGGGCCTGTGCTGGGCACTCAGCTTCGTTGGAGGCAGGTCCCTAATGAGCTGCAGCCTCCAGGAGTAGCGGTACCCTTCTGGGTTAGCTGGGCACTGAGCCTGATGGGGCCTGGAGCTCCCATTTAACGCGTCCTATTGCCTCCACTCTGAAACTCCCCTAGCCTACCCTGCCCACCCTCTGTAGTACAAGCCCCAACCGCCCACCACTGTTGCCAGGGTGAGCCCTGGGCTGACAAGCTACTTCCTCCTCAGAATCCCCCGGGACTCTCAGGCAATGGCCCAGCACCACTGTGGACACTCAGAGCTTCCAAGAGGCCAACCTGTCAACTGTTTGGGGACCAAGACTTCTTCACCTAGAAAACTCCTTTGTGCCCTTCCTCGCCACCCCCCACTTCCCCATCCCAAATATTCAGCACATCTCTCCTCCTGCCTGGCCCTCCTCATGGCCAGTACTCACTTAGCACCTGTCTCCCACTGATGGAGGGCAGGCACCGAGTCCCTAAGCAGACCCAGTGCAGGCTGACACCCAGAGTGGGTGCATGCATATTATGAACTGGGGGTTCCAGCCAGAGTAGAGACCTGGCATTCTGCCTCACATACCAAGTACACAGGAGCACACAATTTAATCACAAAAATAAGCCCATGATGGAGGAGGGGCTTGAGGAAAATGACGCTCCTGCTGAGGGAAAAGCTAGCCCATCAAGAAAGACTGCCATTGAGCCATGCCACCCTCTTCAGGCCAAGGAGCATCACTGGGCCCGAGAGCATCAGTGCCGGGCATTCACACCATGCTGGCCCTGCCCACCACCCCATCCCCTAGCCAGAAGGCTTGAAACTGCCATTCCCTGAAGGATGGAAGACTTGGGGGGCCTGCCACCCTCTTGGTCAGCAGTTCCCAGGACTTCCCATGTCCATCTCTCTGCCCGATGCCCTCAGCATCAGCAGAGCCTTAGCCATGTTACCACAGTGAGGCTGGCTCACATCCTCCTGGAAGAACCACCTCCTCAGCTGCACAGAGGCAGCAACACCAACCTCTCCCACCTGTGGGGAAAGGAGGGGCTTGGCTCAATCTCAGACAACCTGAACCTAAAAACCAGTCGGTGCCTGCCATGGCCCAAACACCTCATCCCTGAGTCCTTGCAGGCCATGGGCCCCCAAGGGCAGGGCCTATCCATCACAGTCTACAGATCCCCAGCCTGATACAAGGCTGGTGCCCATGGGGCCAGACCCAGGCTGAGCCTAGGCAGATGGGTGGCTTGCACATGCAGCCATGCTCCACCTCCAGGCCAGGGGGGCCAGGCACGTAGCAGCAGCACTCCTGAAGCATCTGGCTGGACCAGCAACGGACCCTCATCTGTGCAGCCCAGCTACCTCCAAGTGCAGCTTCTGAGCTGCCCTCTGATGGAGCCACGTGGGTGGGCCAGGCCTCCCAGCCTCGCCCCCAGCAGGGAGGGAGGCAAGAAAGGAATTTGCCAGGACAGCAAACAGCCATGCTTCTCCCTCCCAGACATTTTCATCTTGCAACCATGGTCTTTTCACCTTTCCTAGGATAAGGCAACATCCCAGGTTTAGATGACCTAGCCCTGACGCTGGCCACAGCAAGTGAAAACAAGAGCCAGACCGTGAGACTTCTGAGTCCACAGGGATTTGCTGACTTCACTGACAAGAGTATGCCCAATGCCATCTTGGCCCCCTTGTGGCGGTGTAAGAGGGCAGGAGGCAGCCTAGGGCCCTCTCCTGGGAAGCAGCGGAAGCCTCAGAGACTGCACGCCTGGTCTGCAGCGCCCCTGGGAGCTGGCATCTGGTCACCCCACAGCCGCCTAAGCTGAAATGGCAGGCTCTTCTAGATAAGGCAGAGGCTTTGGGGTCCACAGAGCTTGAGTAAGGCCAGATTCCTCATGGGACAGAACCAGATGCACCCAGCAGCCCCACTGTACCTGGTGCCATAGCCTGGGCAACGCACGCACACAGCCGCGTACTTGCTCAGAATGGGCCGCACATACTCCCTGCCCTGGTCCTCGATGGCTGGGTCCGGCAACTGCCTGGAAGGACAGAGGAAGGGTCACTGCCAGCACCTCTGCTGCCTGCTGGGAGCCCTGTAGTGCCTGAGGCACCGCCAGCCTAGGAAGGGCTATTATTTCATGCACTTTTCTGCCCAAGGGCTCAAATCTCTGCCGAGACTTTCACTTAGGACTGCATCGCTGGGCCCAAGCTACCAGATGGTGATCACTGGGAAAGTTGCCCCTGACAGAGCCACGGGGAGCTTTCCCAGGACCCAGGACCCAGGACCCCGAGGACAGGAGCACCTGTGAGCTCAGCACTGGGAAGGCGCTTCTAGATCTGAAACTGCCTGGGGTCTGTTAGGCCAGAGCGGGACGGGGCCCCCTGCAGAGGGGCAGAAGCCATCCAGGGAGCGAGCCTGTCCTCTCCTCTCGGTGGGGCCTGAGTCCATGGGGGTGCTGCGGGCAGGGGCCCAGCTAAGAGGTGCCGTTACCTGGCCACATTAGCCCCCCACCTATCTTAAAAGGTACCCTAAGGGCATCTCTCCACTTGGCAGGAGCCCACTCAACCCTGAAGCTTGAGGGCCATGACTGCTGGCACTGGGTTCACAGGTGTCAATAAAAACAGCCAGAGCCTGTCCTGGGCCAGCAGGGAATGACAGATAGTAACTGAGGGCTGCGTGGGTTTACAGCTAAGCATGGGCCACTAGGCGGGCCCAGGCAGGGTTTCCCTGAGCGGGTGGCTGTGCTGAGGGTGGTCCTGGTTCATGGTTCAGAGAAGAGAGGAGGGTGAACAGGGGGCAAGAGGGGGCCCAGGGGAGAGGAGCAAGTGGCAGGCTGTGGCGGGGCTCTGCTAAGAGACCACCGGGCATCTGGGCAGGCTGTTGGCCTGGCCTGAGTGGGGTGGAGGAAGGATGTGTGGGCTGTGTTGCTTAGTGGCAAGAAGGTAGCTTGGCAGGCGCCCTGACACCCTCTCCCACCACTGGGATGGTTGAGGTCCACCAGAGGGTAGTCTCCCTGGGGTCGGTGCCCCTGCAGAGGCCACTGAAGTGCCTCAAGGAAGTCGTGTCAGAGGCTTCTTCTCCCCAGGTAATGTCTAGGGTGGGTCTGTCTGTGCCACGTCTCCCACATGCAAACAGAAAGGACCCTGCAGCTGCTCTCGGCCCCAAGGCAACCCCCATCAAGCTCTAGAAGCACCAGGCTTCCCAGCACACCAGCCGCAACTGCCCCATCACCCATCATCAGAGTCCCCCTGTTGGAAACCTCATCAGTTCACAGGTGGAGGGGCCAGAGGTCAGCAAGTCAGCATATCCGTCAGGTTTCCCCGTAGCTGAGGAGCTGCCCTAATTACCTCCACGGGCCTTACAGGGCAGCAGAGACTGCTTGCCTCTCTGTCCCAGGGCCAGAGCAATAGGGGAACACCCTGTTTACCCCAAAGGGACCCACCCACTCACGCCTCCTCATTGTTGAGCACGTCCAGAAGCTGGGCAATGAGGACATCCTTAGGAAGGGCCTGGCTCTGCTCCACAACCTCCAGAAACAGCTGCTTCCCAAAGCACAGCTTCTTCCAAGGCGTCTCCAACAGTGCATTGCTCAGCCCGTAGGTCCCTGTCGGGGAGGGTGGGTCAGTCCATCTGTATTAAGGCCACACTGTCTGAATTTAGGGTAAACTCCCACCCACCCACACAGCAGCAGGCGAGGTGCCAAGATGCAGATGGGGGGCACTGAGGCCAGGCTGCCCCACACTCCAGCATCTTCTCTACAAGTATTCCCAACCCATCTGCACAGCGAGAGATGGAAAACTCAAAAATGGTGGGGCACCAGCAGGAGACTGCAAGGCAAAGAGGCCAAATGGCTTTGACAATAAGGAATAAACAACTTGAAATCCAACTGGACAAAGGAAAGGGGGACCTTGAGAGGGAACAATCTCTCCATCTCACTCCCATCCCTTTCTGAGCTGGAAAAAAACTTCAAAGTGTGGGTCTACTTGAGCAGGTCAAGGGTAGAATAATCAGCAATGGAGCACAGGAGCGCACCTCCCAAAATCCGTGCTGGCTCACATCACAGCACTTAGAGAACCCACCAACATCAGGACAGCGCCCCCAAGTGGGCACAGGCAGGGCCTCCTCTGCATGCTGGTGGGGACCCTGGCTGGGGGAGCCTTGAGGTCCTGGCACAAGTTTTCTCAAAATGAGTTCTGAGTTAACAAGTTAATAGAAGTTATCACAAAGTAACAGGTTTCTCACATCAAAAAAAAGGCACGGCCTTGAGGTAGAGAGGCTACGACAGGCAGCAAGGGCAGGTGCACTCGGGGTCACGAACCCACGAAGATGCATAGAGGACAGGGCACCACCACCTTCTCCAGCTGCCAGACTTTCCAGGCAGGATCCTGGATGAGTACGGTGTGACTTCAGCCACTTCCAAGAAAGGCAGCCCTGGCTCTGCCAGACCCCATAGCCATGCCACCATCCCAGGAATCAGTGTGCTCTATCCACAAGCAGCGACAGGAAAGGCCACTCGTTGGTGGTGCCGGCAGTCTGGGTAGCCACATGCAAGGAGTAAAGTGGAACCCCTACCTCACACCATACACAAAAGTCAATTCAGAATGTCCTGAAGACCTACATGCAAGAGCTAGAGCTATAAAAGTCTTAGAAAAAAACATAAGGGAAAGCTACACAACCCTAGATCAGGCAATGACTTCTCAGCGATAACACAAAAAGCATAAACAACAAAAAAATATATATAAAATCGACATCATCAAAATCGAAAACAAAGCACTTCAAAACTTTCTTGCTTGTCGTTTGCTTGACAAACAAGTGAATAAAGAAAATGCACAAAAGGGTAGACTATTTTTGCAAATCATATGTCTGGTTAGGGACTAGAAGCTAGAATATATAAGGAACTACAACTTAATAATAACAATGCCAAAAAAACGCAATTCAGGCTCTAAATAGACATTTCTTCAAAGAGAACACACACATGCAAAGCTGCTCAATATCATTAGCCATCAGGGACGTACAAATCAAAACCACAGCAAGGTAACACCCACAGCCACGGGGATGGCTGGGACTAAAAAGCAGACAATGACAACTTTAGGCGAGGATGTGGAGAAGTTGGAACTTCATATGCTGCTGGGAAAGTAAAACAGTGCAGCTGCTTTGGAACACAGTTTGGCGGTTTCTCAAAAAATTAAACAATTACTTCATGATCCAGCAATTCCACTCCCAGGTATCTGCCCAAGAGAAATGAAAATGCATCTGCACAAAAGCTTATAACAAATGCCACAGCTGCATCACCCGTAATATCCAAAAGGTAGAAATAACCCAGAGATCCATTCAAAGACAAATGGAGAAACACAATGTTGAGTGTATGTGCACTGGGATATAATTCAGCCATTAAAAAAAAGTAAGCCCTAATTCAGGCTGCAACATATGCTAGGTGGAAAAAGCCAGACACCAAAGGCCACACATTGCATGACTCTGTTTATATCGAACGTCCAGAATAGGCAGATCCACAGAGACAGAAAGTAGACTGGCGGTTGCCAGGGGCGGGGAAAGAGGAGGAACGGGAGTGACTGCCAGTGAGTACGGTTTGTTTCGGAGGCGATGGAAGTGTTAGACAGAAGGTGGCAGTGACAGCTGCATAACTTTGTTAGCACACTACAACCTACTAAGTGGTGTGCTTCCCTGGGGGAATTGTATGATATGTGACCTAGAGCTCCACAAAGCACTTCTTAAAACAGCAGTGACACGGACCAGGCGAGGGCAGGCTGGGGATGAAACCGCAGGGTGTAGGTAAAAAGAATTTCTTTCCTTTTCACAGTTTTCACAGAAGCAACAATCTAGCAAAGAAGCATCTGTAGTCTCGGAGCCTCTAGCACAGCAAACTGAGGGCGTCACGGAGACGGTTTCCTGACGCTTCCACAAAGGCCTCTGGGCCAGCGCACAGAATGTGGGGAGGTGGCGGCCTGTGTCCTTCTGTGCCTTTCGGGTTCCCATTTCCTCAGGGTAGACACGAGCTTGGCGCCGGGGGAAGGTGGCCTAAGCTGAAGGCAGCCTGACACGTGGACCGGGTAGGAGCACGCGGTAAGATACACCAACAGTCAGAAAGCAGTCTCAGCAGAGAAGTATGACAGGGATCTAGTCTCTGAAAAATGCAGAGGTGTCCCCATAGGAGCAGCCCCCACCCTGTCACCACCCACCAGAGCGGGCTCACCTGGTGCCAGGACAATGGGTGTGGGCTCCCCCTGGTTTCCATAGTAGCAGATGACATCCCCCTTCTCTGTGCTGTGAACAGGAAGGAGGGTAGAGAGTATCAGATGGGGCCACACATTGGGTAGACCCCTCGCTGCCTGGCAGTCTCCGCAGCCCTATCCCCAGCCCCCGAGAACGGCCAGCACAGGGAGGTGGCCCGCTGCAGCCAGGTCGGGGGTACTCAGGGTCCCAGCCCCTTGGAGACTTGCAGGCAGGGTCATCGAGATTTCTAGCTCACCACGGGAACCACTGGCCTGGGAGTGACAATATCTAAAAGACCCCACCAACTTGCTGAATGCCCTACAGCAGGAGAATTAAAGACTGCTGCAGTGACCACTGCAGGGGACTGAGTCCCACACCCAAGAACACCAGTCCCCCTTGTAAGGACTCAGCCCCTACCCCTACAGCTCATCTCTGAGCACTTCCGGACTAGACGAGACCCCCCAGAGTAATGGAGGCTTCCGAACAAAGCGCCAAAGACCACGCTTTTCTACTTTCATACACTGAGCATGGATTTTAAAATAGTTTAAAATGCTCCAGAGCTGAATATGTTCTAATTCAAAAATACCATAGTAGAGCTTCCCACTGTAGCCTGGAATGCCTTTTCTGAAAACTCGAAAGGGATATTTTCTGGCCTGTGAGCTGGTTTCCTGGCAGGATTCTGGATTTAGAGACCTGAGCTTTCAGGATGAACAAATACAGAGGAATAGGCTGGCTGGCAAGGGAGGGAGAGTCCCACTGGCCAGGCCCACCCCAGCCATTCCTCCGGCTCGATGCTGCCCTGCAGGCAGGACTCCTGGACCCCAGGAGACTTCACCTCCTGCTCACATTCTTCCTCCCCACAACCTTGGCTCCTTTCTTCAGAGGTCTATCTAATGACTTCAGAGATTTTATTTGCAGGCAAAATGCTAGAAAACATGAGGACGTGTAGGAGCGGGCTTCCACGCCCACCAAGCCCGGTCAGGTGGAAGGAGGTCTGACTCAGGGACTGACTCAGGGAGCAGTTCAAGGCTCCTCCTGGTACCTACCACCAGGGCTGCTGGCCGACATCTAACTCCCTGCGCCCTCTGACCTCTGACTCCCTCCACCCTCTAGGGTGCACTGGGATGCTCCTTGGACCAACCTGCTCCTTGGTCATAACCCACTGGGTTCCGTTGGCTGCCACCTGCCTGTGTCCAGGGAGGCAGGCCCTGACCCTGTGGCCTAGGAGCCAGGGGAGCTGCTCAGGCTCTAAGGGGACCAAGCCCCTGCCCTGCTGGCCTCCCCCAACTACAGGACTGCCTGCCCACCCCTGGCGTCCACTCAGAGCACGAGGTCCTCATCATCCAGCCACCTGACACACTGCTGGAACCAAGTCCTGCCGGCCTGTGAGCCCAGGGGCTGGTCTCCTGGGTCAGGTCAGACATATACAGAAATACTGACAGGCAACGTGACGCCTAAACTGACACAGAGCCGCCGAGGGCTGGAGCAGGCCAGCGCAGGGGAGTGCCAGTGCCAGCAGCTGCCCACACCCTCGGCCCTCCTCCCAAGGGGCACTGCTGCCTCTGGACTGAGATAGCTGTCTGCCAGGCAGGGGCAGGACAGAGCGAGCCACCCAGCAGGCCTGGAGCTCCCGGGGCAGGAAGGAGGCCCGTGGACCCACCCTCATGAGAGGAGGCTGGCTCAGGACAGGCACCCATTCCTGGGCCAACCGTGGGGCACCGACCACTTCCCCTGGCACCTGCGTTGGTGGGAGCATCCACCAACTTCTGGGGCTTTGGCGGGGGAGGAGGGGAGCAAGGAGAGGCCAGGAGGGAGGGAGCCTGGGAGGGATGCTCACTTCACTGAAGAGCAAAATACACAAAACCCCTGCAGTTCCCACAGCCACATCTCTAACTTGCGCCTCACATGGGTGGCAGCCCAGACACACAGCCCACCCAGGTCGGGGGGAGGCTGCTCCCACCAACCCCTGGACCAGCTGGCTGCTCTTCAAGGCCCTCAGCTGGCAGAGGGGCAGACACCCAGCCAGGGCCTCTCCACACTGGCCACAGCACTTCTGCTCCCCTGTCCAGAACATTCTGCCATGTACAATGAGACTGGCAACAGCGTTACTCACCTCTCTGCAGACAGGGACAGGTGGGTGTTTGGCACCCAGCATACAGACCCTGTACCCTCCCTTGCCCTGTCCACCAGTGTCTGACTGATGGTTCTCTGGGGTCCCCCCAGAAGTGCTGTGTTTCTACCCCTAACCTGAGCCAAGTACCAACAACCACTTCAGCTCAGGGCTCCCTGTCTGCAGTGGGAAGGGGGCCACGCCAGTGCCGTGGACAGTGACTGTGCAGCTGCTGCTGAGCTGGTGTGGGGCCAAGCCCAGGGTTCAGGCCCGGGCACTGCAGAAACGAACACCCTCTGAGAGCGCCAGGCTGCGGCCCAATGGCGGCCGGCACCAAGTGGGGGTGAGCGCGGTGCTCCTTCCCAGCCTGGGGCAAGACGGGTGTGATGATACAGCTGCTGTTTCCAGCAGCACTCGGGACTCCAGCACAGCACCAGGGGACCCCGGGTCCCACCCTGCACCAGCAGTGGTCGTGGTCGTGGCCAGGTCACCTGCCTACCTGAGGCCGGCTGCAGCAGGTGCACAGAGGGTCTGAGGATACGCTGAGTGCTGCAGGTGAGGGGCTCAGCACGCAGCCAGAGGTAGCCACCGACTGCTGCGCCGGCTGTCAGCCCCCGAGGCACCTCTCCGTGTGCCCACAGGGCCTGGTGAGGCTCCAGCTGCCATTCCCAAATAACTCAGACCCCAGGAACCTGACTCCCGAATCTCACAGCCCCAAGACCCTCACAGAAACCGAGAGCAGTCATGCTGCCCACTGAGACCCAGCTCCCAAAAGATGCTGCAGCGAGGCCCCCGCACTCGGCAGCACCCAAACACCATGGGGTCTCAGGGTGCTCCAGGGCCACTGCCAGGTGCCACTCCGGCCCGAGGCACCTCCACCCACCAGAGAGCAGTGCCAGTGAGGTATGGCTCCAAAACAGGGGGCTCAGCCACAGACATGGGGAGGGGACCTGGGGGCAGAGAGGCGGGCACAGACGGGGTCCCGTCCAGTGCTGGGACAGTGCCCAGGCTCCAGTGATGCTCCACTGCCCTTGGGCAGGAGCCAGCGGCCCTCGTACGGTCACAGGAAGCCCCACTGCCAAGCTCTGGGTCCCAAGTCCCCACAGCAGGGGCTCTGGGAGGGGCTGGGCCTCGGGACGCTCACCAAGCTCACTGGGAGTGATGTCCCCGGAGAGGCTGCCACAGATGCCACAGTGGCCCAAGCTGAGTGGTGCGGCAGGTGTCCTGTCCCCTGCCGAGCCCACGACCTAATCCAGAGGCAGCACTCGGTGGGTGTCCCTGCCCCCCGCAGACTCACCTCAGGTCAGCTGCTAAGAGGTTGAAACCGTTGTACAGGTGACCCTCTGTGGACACCTTCTTCAGGTAGGAGAAACTGTCCATGTCCGTGGTGAGAAAGTGGGCCACCAGTTCACCTGTGAGTAGGGAACAGACACCCGTGGCCGAGGCAGCAGGCTGAGCCCCTCCCCCTGGGGAGACCGGTGGTCCCGAGTGGGCTGGCTGCACCTCACTGACCGCCAGCCAAGGGTGTTGACACAGAGAACTCTGTTTTTGTTGATTTTAAAAGTTGTTCTCCTCCATGGTGCCCCCATATGGATATCCAGCAGGTGGGAAAAGCCTTCGGTGGGGACAATGGTGTCCATGGGGACACTGTGTGTCCATGGAGCTGTCCTCCCAGGGGCACCTGCTCAGCAAACAGTAGACAGGTTGGGGACAATGACCCACAGTGGAGAGTGACACACTCCCCGGGGAACGAGCGTGAAGCACGTCCCCTGAGAGGGGTGAAAGGTCAGTGCCATGGGTTTCACGTGGGCCAGGCTGACAGTGATTCCCACAGTGAGGCCAGTCAGTGGACTGCAGGGCCCAGGAAAACATGCCTTCCTCCCCATCCTAGCTCCTCCCCATCTCTGTGCAGGCCCAAGGAAGCCCCTGCCCCAAGGCCCTACCGCACAGGCCAGCCCCGCCCCACCCCAGGTACCTCGGCCCCTGGCGGCTGGGTCCTGATGGGGCTGCAGGTAGTTGGTGAGTGCCGCCAGCTTCCCCCGCGTGCTGATGCCCAGCCACGTGCCTCCTTCCTTGCCTTCCTCCATATCGAGCCCTGGGTGGACGCCAGCATCATCACCAGCGGTACCCACCCCAGCCCTGCATCCTGGGGAGCCGCACCTCAGTGCCACAGCCCTGGCTGTGGGACAGGGGCTCTGACTCCACAGGGCGGGGTCGCAGGACACTCGCAAGATGCTCTCCCAGAACCCAGCCCCTCAGGACAACTGACTCCCCAGACAGAATCCTGGAGCTTGGGGTGACACCGGGCTGGGAGCAGAACACCAGCTCCATCACGCGAACCTCGTCCTAGACCTGGGGCAGGGGCCCGGGCAGGCTAGCCTTTCCTCCAAGCCTCCACGTCCTCATCTTCCCGAGGTGCCTCCTGCCTCCCTTCCCCAAGGCAATAGCCCCTCTTCCCAAGGTCCTGACAAGCACCCCACCCAACACACACACACCTCAGCCTCCCATCTTTGCCCTGCAGTGTGGACACGCACAACCTGTCCTGCCCCGTAACCCCTCTGCACCCTCCCAGCCCAGGACAGCAGAGATGGTCCTGGCCGTGCCCCCAGGCTCCCCCCAGCGCTCCTCTCATGTCCTCACAGGCCTGCCCTGGGACCACTGCAAGAGCCATGGCTGACCCAGCCAAGGACCACCCCCCCACACACAAACACCCCCCTGGGATCACTGGACTGCTGTGCCCAGAGTTTACACCCCATGGGGCTCCTCGCCAGCCCACCACCTGCTCCTGTCTGGTCTGCATGTCTAGACATTCCCAAGGTTTCCTGTGTAGTTTCGGACGAAGCCAGGACAGCCCGGAGACCCAGCCTCTTCTCCCTCTCGCACTCAGTCACCCTGGGTCCCCTCTCACAGCCTCTGAGTAGCTTTCCCCACCTCAACCCCCAGACCTCCTGCCCAGGGCAGTGCCCTGCCCGGCCGCCCCACTCCTGTCCTCCTCTCATGCAGCACCAGGACGACCCAGCAGTGTCCTCCCTACACCACTGCCCAGCCTCGGTCTCCACAGGAAGCCTTCTGCCAGTACCTCCCGGGCCCGGGAGGCCACCTGCCCAGCACACCGGGCACCGTGTCAACTCTGCCAGGCTCCTCCCTGTGCTTGCTTGGCACTTGGCTCCCAGGCGGAGGGGCTCCTGCCCACCCCAGGGGCAGGAACTGCTCCCTATCCAAGTGGCTGGCGGAGGCTGCTGGCTGGGAGGGCAGGGGACCTGGCTGTCACCTGCACTCCCCCCTCCCCTCAGAGGAACTCCTCATGAAGCAGCCACCGGAAGGCATCCCAGCCCAACCTCTGCTCCGCAGATTCAGCCCGGCTCTCACTAGAGCAAGGAGCCCTCGCACGTAAACAGAAATGTGCACAGATGGAAGCACAAGTGCACCCCCACACACACACACACAACTGTGATGCTGCACTGAGTGACAGCGTGGGCCTGCACCTCACACCAGCACTACACCAACCGACCCTCCCAGCTGCTTCTCCTGGGGACCCGCGGTACACGAAGCCACATGGGCAGTGTGGGGTGGACCGTTCCGGCCTGGCCAACCCAACGCTGGCCCCAGACGGAGAGTCGGGAGCCCGCCCCCAGTAGAGCCGTCCAAGCCCACTCACTCGTTCCGAACCTACATGGGGAAGCAGCACCCGCAGCAGTCAGGACCCCCTGGGGCCCATGCTTCCTGCCACGAGGAAAGACTCACCACTGAGGACCTCGTTGTTGCCCCCCCAGAAGTCTGCTGTCTTGGACGGTCTGTGGTAGAACTCATCCCTGTTGGCTGCCAGGATGAGCCTAAAGAAAGAAGCACAGCCGAAACTGTCAGGTCTACACGGAAAAGCCACATTGTTTTCTCTAGTTAACAAAGAACACTTGCCTCAGTAATAATATGGGTAAGTCCCACAGAGAATAGGAACCCACACGGGACACAGAGCGGCAGCAGTTCCAGGCAGGGGAGCCCTCGGCCAGACTGTGCCCGGGGCCCTGCAGACGACAGAGCGGGGCGAGGCTCAAAGACAAGTGTCCGTGCTGACCAGGGCCAGGAGGCAGAGCGCGGCCCTGCACACCCACTGCCCACCCAGAACAGGGCCCCGCAAGCAGGACCCGGGGCAGGCGGGCGAGGGCCCTGCGGAGGAGTTCTAGCTGAGGCACCAAGCGTGCCCGGGTACTCAGGCGGCAGGGAGGTGCCCCTCTTTCTGTCCATCTGTCCCTTCCTCTGAAGACACCCAGCGAGCATCCTGGAAGTGTGGGCATGCTCACCAGTGTGGCTTGGGGTGCCCGTGGACCACTCCCGCCCACAGCGTCTCCAAGGGCTGCTGTCCTGAGTTCAGGGTGTTTGGGGGAGGAAATGGGTGGGACCTCCTGTGTTTCACTAGATTTTTTCATTATGAATTGAACGAGTGTTTCTTTGGCAAGTAGAAAAAGCGTCAGTTTTCAGAGCCCTGGTTTAGGGGTAAGAAATCTAAGTTGCCAGTCAGCTTTGCCATTTAAATAAGAACACAGATGGTGGTTGAGGGGAACCTCTCTGGGCCTGAGGAGTGACCCCCGAAGGGCCCTCTAAGCACCACGGCTGATGCACAGGAGAACAGAGGATGAGGGGCCAGGGTCTGGAGTTTGGTGGCCTGTGGTCACACTGGGTCCGAAACCAAATTAGTTGGGTCAATGGTCATGTCCTGAAAAAACCTTCAAAAAATAACTTTTATACTGTCTCAGTGATATCATAAATATTTGCTCATGGCACAATACGAATGATCGAAGATGTTCATAAGTTGAAAGTGAAACCAGTGCCAGGCCATGAAAGTGTTTTCGCCCATGGACACAGTACACCACCCCCCCCACCCCCGCCCTGACTCTGCACTTCCCAGTGCAGCCCCGGCGACAAGGGCCAGCACAGCCCGGACTGTGCCCAGCCGTGGAACACTCTGGCCATGGAAGCCCCAAAGCCTCACCACCTTCGAGACTCCCACCTGGCCTGCAGCCTCTATCCCCTCTCCAGAGCTGGCTCCAGGGCTGCACCAGGTCTCAGGATGTGCACCGGAGAGGGAAGGGTCCCTGCCCCGATACGAGCCCCAGCAGCGCCCAGAGCAATCCTCCGCAGCTCTAACTGCCACACTCTGACCTGGACCCCAGCCTCGGGGTGAGATACACGGTCTGAGGGAGAGGCCAGCTGGCCCTGATCCCTGCTTCCCACATCAAGCTCTGTCCCTTCTGGAACCAAGCCATGGATGTGTCCTGGCTGGCCCTGCCCCCATGGGCTGCCTGAATGGGCCGTCCTGGTGGGTGTCCCTCCACCACGGCCTGGATAGCAGTCAGAAGGGGGAAGAGTCCAGTGTCGCAGAGTAGGGGGAGACGCCGCAGCTCTGGCAGGGATGCCGCGGGGGCCAGGCTCCCTGCTAACGCCATGGGTGGGGGTGGTTTCACACAGCCAGGATCTCTTCCTTCAGATACCCAGTGCTCCTCCACACACTGGTCCTGCCACCTGCAGGGGGGGGGGGGCCAGGAAGGCAGCACCCAAAACGCGGTTGCTTTTGATCCCTACATACGGAAAAATTAGGGGGAAAAGCTGAGTAAAACCTTCTGTCCTAAGATTTTCAACTGCCTCTTTAAAACAAGGGGCATTTACCTGTGTTTGTAACTAGGAACGTTAAATTGCTGGGTTATTTTCATTAAATGAGTCACTGTTTGGCTGAACTTCCTGGTTTGCTGGGGATTTCATTAAATATGCAATTCAGAGACGTGCGGGTGTGATGAGCACCCACCTCCAGGCTCCGAGTGAGGGAAGGCACTGCTCAGTCACCATCTCTGGGACAACACCACCAACCAAGGTCCATCCTCACCACTGTGCCCAGAGGCAGGGCACTGGCCGCCACAGCGAGGGGCCTGAACACAGCTAGTCAACCCTGCTTTTGTTTCATTCCGACCATTGAAACCACTGATGAACTATTCATGAGCAGTGAGCGCTCCTCACCAGCTGTTGAGGGTAGGTGTAGGCTGAGTCTCTGCACCTTCTGGGGGGGGTGGTCTGTGAGCTCACGGTTAGCTTTGCACATCTTTGGGAGGCATGGTCTTTTTTCAAAGAGCACATGTCCCTTTGCAATCAAGGAAATAAGATCAACAGAATCCTATTGGACACAGCTGCCTCTACGGAGCACGCCAAGATCATCAGGGCAAAGCTACAGCCAGCATGGGAAACTTCCACATTAGCATCTCACAGACCCCTAACGTAAGTTCTTATCTTCTAGGCTCCTTGCCGGAGTACTGCAGAGAGTCCCACTAGAATTAAAAACAAGAGCAAAACCAACAGGCGCCCAGACTATACTCATACTGGGTAACTGGCACCAAAATGTGGAAGTCGCAAGTGCCTGGCATCAACAGGCATGGGGGGCAAAGGCTGCTGGGACCACTCGGGGGATCACGCCCTCGGGCAGGGGCATTGATGCCTTGTGTGCAGGGTGACCCCAGGAGGGAGCGACACGGAAGAACTCATCTGCGTCTGGCTAGCATGCAACCCGGAAGGCAGACCACATGTGCACCAGGGCCAGCCCAGCACCCAGGGGGCAGACAGGGAGGCCTGAGGGGGCCTGGGAGAATGCAGCAGTGGCATGTGGCACCGGGGGCTGCCACGTCTGGAGGAGCAGGTATCCTCAACGGGGGGGCAGCAGCAAGGTGACAATAGGAGATGTGGGGGATACAGACTGTAGGCTCTGTGACAACCCGTTCCAGCAATAGGCTTGGGGCTGCTCTGCAGCAGCCATATTCGCATCCACTCTCCAGGCAGGCACTGAGCTGGCTCCCCTCCCTCCCCTCCTTCCCTGCACTAGGGCCACTCAGGCAGTGGCTGCTGCATCTGGGCACGAACAACCCACAAGACACATGCTCAGAGTGGCCCACGTCTTCTCCTGTGGGAAAGAGACGACAGAACACTCAAACACAGCGCAAGGGAGGGAGATGCTTCCGCGACCACACCTTCCACCAGCAGCCCAGCCAAGTGGCAGGATGGGCCAACCGCAAACACCACCGGGCGGTCCTGGGCAGGGTGTGACAGGCACAGGCTCACCTTTCCCCTAGGAGCAAACTCCTGAAAGCTGGAAAACACATTCCCAGGGGCTGGGTGAGGGGGATGGGGGTTATCATTTGATGGGGACAGAATTCAAGAAGCCGAGAAGAGTTCTGGCGATGGATGGTGGTGAGGGTCACACAAAAACGTGAAAGGCCTTAACACCATGGAACTAGATACTTACAAATGATCAAAGTGGCGAATGTCTATGTTACACATGCTCTATTACACACACTTTAAACAAAGTGCACTCTCATTCCTGATTGTTGCTACGTAAGAGGCAGATGAGGATATAGCAGTGGACGCCAGGATGGGGCGCAGAGGCCAGTGCAACCCAGGCCAAAACAGAGGCGGCTAAGGCAGGAAGGAACCCAAGTGAGGGGCACCGGGGCAAGCCCTGCCGGCACAGAGAGCTCCTGGCAGCACCAGACAGTCAGGGCCTGCTCCCCTCCATGCCCATGGCCCTAGAGCTGGGCCTCCACCCCTTCACTGCTCCCCCTTCCACTCCAGGCAGTGGGAGCCCCTCCCAGATCTCTGACATGCCCAGGCTCAGCTCACCAGCCCTCTCATAGCTGGCCTTGCTGCAGTGTCCCTCCCATGACCGCCCTCTCCTGCCCCTCCAGTCCTGTTCCAGCATCACACACGTACAGGAGTGCATACAGAGAGGGCCTGCAGCCTGCCCATTCCCCTATCTGGACACCCCCAGAGCTAGAACAGAAGCAGCCACCAGAAGCCCCTCCGGCCCTCCCGTGTGGTCGGGAAAACACTGAGTATATCCATTCAGTCACCCAGAGGAAGCATATTTAGTCTTTGGCTTAGAGCCAAAGACAATTTGAGAGAAACGCTAAGGCTATCTCGAATCACAATCCATGAGTTCGCTGTCGCGAGGACAGCTGCTGGCAGTGACATACTGGCTGTGAGTAAAAGCAAGAGAGATCCGTGCTCACCCTCCTCTCTCCTTCCCATTTCTATGTTACGTTCAGGAGGTTGGAGGTAGTCTCAGGGAAGAGCATCTCAAGAGGGGCTGTGTCTGAATCCGGGAGTAGCAAATACAGAAAGTGATGGACTTAGTGATTGTCAGGTAGCATCTCCTCATCTGAGAAATTCTTCACTTGTTGGGTGAAGAGAGGGTTGTTTTATTGGTGAGTGGAATTTCAAATGAGCATAGAAGAGTGCATAAGAAAGCTCAGTAGCCAAAGGGGTGGACTGTGCCAGCCATTGCATCTCGGCCCCAAATTCGCTCTGCATTGCCTTCTGTGGTAACAGAGCTGAACTTTGCAGATGGTGCCATATTACATTTTGTCAGTGGAGGGCGCCAGAGAGACGCTGGAGAAGGAGAGGTTACTTTTGCAGGTAGCAGAGGGCTGTCTCTGAAAGCTCCCACCACACGCGTGACTTCCTGGGCATCAGCCTCCTGCCATACCTGTGGCTTCCCCAGCCTACAGCATTATGCAGTACCCAGCGTCCAGCACCTTCCCTGCAACAGTTGTCAGCACCCAAGGGCAGCCCAGCAAGTTCTGCTGGTGCAGCACCCCAGCGACTTCTCCGTCATCTGGTGAGCCAGGGCTGTGCCTCTCCAGCAGGGTCTGATCCCAGCGGCCAGTGAAGGATGGGGTTCTTCTGTGGGCACCCTAGTCTCAATGTCACTAGTCCTTCTGTGTGTTACCCTTTCCTTGCTCAAAGCACTGGGTCTGGATCTGCCCTCTGGCTGCACCCTGATGTGCAGCTCACCCTGCAGGGGTCAGGCAGGGTCAGCTCCTGGGCCCCAGCCTGGCCTGCTGCCCTCTCCTCTGCAGGAAGGGAATGCTGGACACTCCTCACCCTCCACTCCCTGGCCTGGACTGAGTGAATTTGTCCACCATGTGAGGCAGCATGGTGTCTGCGATTTGGCCCAGCGACTCAAACCCAAAAAGCTGGCTGAAATAGTTAAAATCGTTGCTGGTACAGATTTTTAAATGATAAAAACTTTGCAGGCAATTGCACTCTTGTGGGTTTCATCTCGGCCTCACTCTCTGCATGGATAAATTCTGATGGGGTCCTACTGGGGGACCCCAGGGCATGCAGGGGCACGGTCCAGTGTCTAGAGTTGGAGGAGATACCCCCAGCTTCCCCCATCCCTCTGCACACTGACAACATTCCCCAGGCTTCTCTTAGCAACATGGACCAGCCAGTCCAAGTGAGGCCCTTGCCCACTCTCACCCCAATTCCGCTGCCCTCTGGTCCTCCGTCAGAGCTCCCAGGGCGGCTTCCTGCCTCAACCCACTTTGTTCCTCTGTCCGGCCCACGCAGCCACCGTTAGAGGCTGAGTCTTGGTATATTTGTACATTGACTCAGGGTCTTCACCACGGAGAGGTATTCCCTCCAGCACCCCACACTCAGTGGCCACTGTCTGAGAGGGTGTTGCCAGGCCTGCGAGGCTCATCCTGGGGCCTCCCGCTCCCAACCTGAGGGCGGCAGCAGCATGCCTCCCCTGCTTGGGGCAGCTACACGGGCACTGAGGTCGGTGGGGCAGCAAGGCTGAGCGGACAATAGCAGACTCAGAGTGAGGGGGTTACCTGTATGCATTTTTGGAAACGGGGTGAGGATCGAACTTAAAGAAGATGATGCACATGGGTCCCCGAGAGTGGCTTTGCTTACACGGGGTCACACAGTCTGCGGGAAAAGGAAAAAAGTAAGTTGAGTAAACAGCGAACAGTAGAACCACCTTCCCTGAACCTGCGATGTTCTTGGACTGGGAACAGAACCAGCTCTGTAATGCCCATGACCCTTTGCTAGATATGCCACAGTCATGTGCCCAACACCGTGATGCTCACCACACTGCACAACCCTCTCCCTAAACATGCACACTCGTCAGCACTGGCCAGACCACCCTGACGCCGGCTATGCTCACTGGCCCCGGAGCACATGAGGGTGGCAAGGAGGTGGTAGCAGGAAAAAGCAGCAAGAGCAAGAACCACAAGCACAGCTGGAGCAGGGGGCAGAGCAGCCGGCCCACGCCTGCCCCGGAGCGAGGTTCTGCAGCCCGCTCTGTGGCCCTCACCCAGCCTGCCCATTCCCTCCCCTGGCAACAGCACCAATTCCAGCCCCCCTGCCATTCAGTGCAGGGCCACATCACACCCGCTTGGCCTGGGGCTGCTGGGCAGCAGTGTCTACCCCAGGCCCATAGCACACGCCCTCCACCCGTGATGGCCCAAGCATAGCCAGACTCCCACAGAGCCCTGCACCCCCGTCAGCCAGGGACAAGGGGCAAAGCACATGTGCTGGGGACATGGACACCAACTCAAGTGATGGGTGAAGACTTGGTGTGCACTCCTTTCCCTGCCCCCGGCCACGCACAGGTCCCTCACCTGGGGCCTCTAGAGCCAGCAGGGCTTTTCCCCTCAAATGAGATGAGAACTGAGATGAGATCTCAAGGCCACCGATCCTGAATAAGGTGACTGTGCAGGTGCTGCAGGGAGCCAAGAAGATGCCCAGAAGAGCCTGGTAAGCAAGCGGGGGAGATGTGTTCAGTGTGTGTGCACGTAGGTGAGGCCGAGGGGTCTGGGCCTACATGTAAGTGCATGGATATGTCTACATGTGTGCTTCTGTGTGCATGTGTACATGTGTGTCTAGAGGAGGCCACTGAACCCAGGTGCCCTAGCCTGGGGCACCCTGGGACTAGGGAGGGTCTGTGCAGTGGCCAGTCTAAAGACATGAGCAGCACCTGCTGGAGTAGGGCCTGGGCTCTGCCCCAGGGGGCACAACTGTAAAGCAGGTCAGTGAGTTGGGCCTCTCTAGGGGCAGGGGCAAGGGAAAGATGCTCCACCCAGCTCGTCCTTTCTCTAATCTTCCACATAAGCCATGACTACTCTCCCACCCCTGCCTCTCAACCCTGGGCCTCAGAGCAGCCGCCCAGGGAAGGGGGCCAGCCTGCTGTGTGGGACACCAGCACAGAACCCCTGCACGCTTGTGGACAGCAGGTATGGGCCAGAGAGGGCTCCAGGAGAGACCCATTTACCACCACTGGGAGAGGCAAACGAATAGTGATGGGGACCGCGCCTCTCTAATGGCAGTGAACCTCTCCTGGTTCTTGGGTGTCTGAATGAAACCCTTCCTGTCTCAGGACTCATAGAAAGGGGTGTTCCCACCACACTGACTCTGCCAGCACCCATGAGTAAGGTCAGTGGGCAGGAGGGGCTGGGGCCACAGAGGAGCCGGGGGGGGCCGAAGGCCATGGCCAGCACCACAAACACAACGTTGGCTGAGAGCCACTCGGAGCCCCCGAGCTCTCGGGGCCTCGTGGGACAACGCCACAGTGCTCCCTGCACTCCACTCCTCTCTGCTCACGGTCGGGCCGGGGTGGGAGGTGGGGGTGGAGGGGCAGAGGACTGACTCCACTGGCTCCCACACGCCCTGGAGTGACTCCCAGGACCCAGCCTTGTTTCTCCTGGCCTCAGCAGACACAGGTGCGGGAGATGGTGCATGTAAAGCCCGCAGTAGAACAGGTGAGGCATTGTCATGGCGACTAGCAGAAGTGCCACATGCTGGGGAATGCCAGCCATGCGAAATGGGCTGCTGGCCACCAGCCTGAGCTGACGGGAGCATTTTCTACCCTTGGGCCCACTACAGTGCCCACTGGGGGCCATCACTCCAGGGGGGTCTGACAGCCCCAATCCTGTTGGGCAGCCTAAGGGGGCTGACATTCTTGGTAAAAACAACTCCAAATGCTTGCTAAAAAAATGAAAACATTGTAGAAGCAACCAAGAGCTGCCAAGGTCATGTCGGATTTAACCAGCACCTTGGAGAACATGAGCATCGGAGAGGGAGAGAAACAGAGTTCGGGGGCCACTCCAGCCCTGGGGCGTTGACTCATCTGGGCAAACCAGGCTCTGGTGGCCTCGGGAGTGAGGGGGACAGAAGACAACCCCCAGGGCAGCCCTAAGACGGAACCTAGTGGGAAACGGAGAAGTCCCGCGGTAATTTCTCAGACAGACAGCAGTACACAGCCAGAAAGCCACGCACCAGAACAAACCTCCACACACAAGAACCAGCAGGAAGAGACCCCACAGGTCTCGTAAACCAGCCACGCTCTGCCTGCAGAAAGGGGGAGCTTGGGAATATCTGCAGAGGAAAGGAGGTTCACGAAGCACCAGAAAGAGCTTTGGGAAATGGAAGGTATAGGTAACGACGAATTAAAACTCAGCAGTGGATTTCACGGCCGCTTAGACAGAGCTGATGCCATGAGTCAGCAGAATCATCTGGAATGCAGTGCAGGGAGACAGGAAGCATGCTAGGCCTCTGAGGACTTCAAGTGTCCCAGCCGCCAGGGACAGCTGACAGGTTTCCAGCACCTGCCACCTGACCACAGTCCAGCACAGAAGACAGAGGCCCCTCAGCCCAGAGAGGCTGGTCTCTCTCGGACACAAGAGTGCTCCACACAAGGCGGTGGTGAGTGTGGTACCCTGGCTGCTACAGGCAGTGGTCGGAGTCCTGCCAGCCTCTCCCTGGCAACATCTCACTGGTCCAGAGCCCCGCCGGACGGGCAGCTATTCTGAAGGCTGTCCCACCAGGGACGTGCCACTCCGGGCTGTCAGAGGAAGAGGCCACTGTGGCTGCCTTGGCCCCCCATGTCCCTCCCTGAGCTGCATACCTGGCCGCTAGCTGAGGCCACTGCAAAGGGCAGGCCTGGTCCCTGATGCTCACAGGCCCCACCCCCAACTCAGCGGCAGGACTCTGCTGTCCTAGCTGCAGATGAATGGCAGACCAGCCCTCCTGATGTAGCAGGGAGGGCTCTGTAGTCTGGGGAGAGGCCGCCGAGGGGTCTCCAGGCAGCCTGGTGTCAGAGGTGTGTGGGCGCAGAGCCCCGGGCTGCGGCCATGACGAAGGTGCAGTCATTAGGAGGGAAGGACCAGAGGAAAGCCAGCCCCTGGGAGGGGACCATCAGGAACTGCCTTTCTCTCCAATCCCTCACCCCCCACTCAAGCCAGGCCTGCTGCCCACCAGCCCCTCCCCTTCCTGGCTTTACCTCCCAGCCACCCCCAGCACCCTTCTTCCTCTACACCCGATATGCTCCCTCAGCAAACTCTTGGCAAGTCCCATGGGTGCAGGGTCCTCCTCCAAGAGCGCCCCCACCCTGGCCTACCACGGAGCTCCAGCACCCTGCCCAGGGCCTGAGAAAATGCTCCTCTCCACTTCCCACAGCTCCACGGCCAGCAGAGGGGGAGGGGCCTCAACAGGTCCCACCACACCAGGTAAGTAAGGCTGGTGGCACTTTCTCAGGAGGGGCTCACCCTGAATGATCCCTGAGCTGGTAAGATCTGTAGGGGAGGGCAGGCAGCATCCTGGGAGGGAGAAGCATGCTTGGCTTTCTTGGTGACACCCCTGCCCCACCTGTCCCCACCTCCACCTGGGGCTCAGCACATAGGTGCAGGCCCGGGGGAATATCCACAGAGACCCGGGAAGTAAGCGCTGTGCAGGTGCTGGGGTCACTCCGCAGGCAGGGCAGCCAGACCCAGCCCACAGCCAGAGAAAGACAGGCAGAAGAGTCCCATAGGATCTGACCAGGAGCTCCACCACGGGCCTTAAGGTGGGCGTCTTAGGCAATGCAGAAAGCCGTGTCCCACCTCCGAGTCCCACGCCCAGGGTGCTGCCTGCCCCAGCAGGCCGAAGAGGCCATGACAGCAATGTGCACACTCGGCGGAGCCTTTGGACGGCAGGCAAGAGCCATTCCAGGCCCGCCCTCTGCCTTCCCTCCCTCACCCTCACTTGGCCTCCAGGGAGGCCAGGGAACACAGGGCACAGGGAGGAGGGCCCCACCCAGAGCTTGGCTCTCTGGCCAGTGGCATACTGAGTCGGGCTGGGGGGGTGGGGTACTGGGCCCCAGATGCCATGGGGCAAGGGAGGGGACAGCTAGGGAGTGCTGGGCACTTTATAGGCGTGACGTCCCCTCACTGAGAGCTCAGCTTGACGTTACCGGAGAGGCTCATTGGAGGGGTGCCTACGGGCTGCACACAGGGTGAAGGAGCAGGTGCACACAGGGTGCTGTGGTCAGCGGGCCTCCCTGGCATCACCTCTGCTCCCAGGCAGCCACCTAGAAGACCAGGATGCCCGCAGCACTGGGCCTGCACGGCCACAGCCCCTCCACCCAGTTCATCGTGGAAGCTCTGGGAAGCCGGCACGCTTCCTGCACAGGCCCCACTGTCTCCCTCCCCAGGGCATGAGAAGCTCCTGGGGAAGCCCCCAGTGGGCAGCCAGCTCCATCCCAGCCATGGCAGAAAGTCACTGTGTCCACATGTGGTCCCCCTGGGGGTACGGTTTTACAACTGCCTCACGCTCAGGGAGACCAGTCCAAAGGGATGGAAGACCCCAGAGAGTGGCCCAGGCTGAGGAGGGGAGTTGTGTGGGCAGCAGTCTGGAGGGACCACATGAACAACTAGAGAGCGGAGCCCTGGAGGCAGCCAAACATCCTGCCAAGGGCCTGGGACTCCGGCGCAGCCCTGCACAGCAGTGGGCGGCAGAGCCGGCCACGGAAAGGCGCCGTCTCTGCTGCGGGAAGCCTGTCCCTCCGTGCTCACTGCAGCCTCAGCTGTTCTGTACAGAAAGCCAGGGGCTGGTCCCGCTGGGGAGGAGCCTGGCATCGGCAGTCCCCTGTGCCCCTGGAGAGTCCTCACCACGCTTGCTTTGCAAAGCCACGGTCCATGACTCACACTGACTCGGACTCTCCCAGCTGCAGCCAGGCAATCTTTGTAATCACCATGATTCCACATAAAACACTGACCTCTGTGAGCTTGGCCAAGTGACAGCTCTGCTGGAACAAACTACCCAGGACTTTTCTGGAACTGAAGAGAGAGCAGCATGAAGTCCTGCCTAGACCAGGAAGACTGCAGCTCCAGAAGCTCATTCTCTGTGACAACTGAGGTGACAAAAGTCCCTGGCCCAGGAATTGCAACTCAGGCTGGGTAGGTCCACGAGGCTGCATTGGCACGGATGAGACCAGTATACCCACACCTCACAGCTGCCCACTCACTGCTGCTCACCAGTCACTCAGCCCGGAGCCTCTGCTGCGACCTCAGCCTGCCTAGGCACAGCTGAGAAAACACAGTTACCCCTGGGGTGGCCTCCACCAGCCTGAGCGTGCACCTCTGCCAGGTCCTCCCTCCCACCTGCAGCCTGGGCAGATCCACGTGTGCAGAGCAGGGCTAGCACTTCCCACGTACACCTAGAATCTCTGAGCACACCTGAGCCCCTGGAGGAAGGACCTGTGAAGCATGAAGCAAAAGGAAAGCCTCTTCCTCAAACCAAAGCCAAGAGCCTCCCAGCCTCTCTGAGAAAGGCAGCTGAAGTCTCCCCAGATCACAGCTCAGCGAGTCTGGCTTTCCCCTAACTGCCTGGCAGTCCCGAAGCACAGGAAGGATGGGTCACAGATTTGGCACCAGTTATTCTCAATGCGCTGGCGCTGGCTACAAAGCACAGGAGCTTTCTAGGCACTCACAGCCCATCTG